CCCTCCCATCCCACCCGCCGGGCGACGAGCGGCGGCCGGCGGCCAGGGCCCGAGATGGACCGGTACCAGAGGGTGGAGCGACCGCGGCCCGAGTCGGCCATCGCCGAGAACGAGATCCGAATCACCGCCCAGGGGCTTATCCGCAACTATGTCTCCTACGCCACGTCCCTCCTCCAGGTGCGCTCCCCCCGCCCCCCCGCCCCCGTCCCGTCGGTTTCGCGTTTGCGTTGGTTCGATTCGGCGCGTGTCGACGGCGGAAAGGGCCCGAGGTCGCGGCTTGTTTCTGCCCGTCTGGCTTCCGCGGAGGCGGAGTCGTTCGCACGGCTGGTTTTGTGTGGTCTGATGCCGAGGTCGTGCTGAATCTGTGCGATTTCAGTTGGAAGTGCGTTGACTGGCGGCTGGGGCACAAATTCAATGTTGATGTGTCATATTTGCACAAATGTATACTTGTTTGTCATTGTTCTGAATCAGTATGGTCATTAGGACTAAACTCATTGCGAATCTGGTTTGATGCGACGGATATCCAGATTTATAAAGTATGCGCCGAGATTGTCAAGTTTAATGTGTCAATCTGATTTGCGGACTTTGGTTACATACCGAGGATATAAATTTAGCAATGTAGGGATGTTTCGTATGATTTCTGGTCAACAATTGATAGTAATCCCTGTAAACACAGTTTCAATTGACAGTGAGATTGTGATAGTGATAGCAGTGGGAGTTCAGTTGTAAGAAGTGCCAGTGCTGTTAGTTCTGTGTCCCTTACCTCCCCTGGATGCAGTCAATTGCATTTACATAGTGTGGGGTTGTGTGCTGCTGTAGGATAGGAGGTCTCGGTAATGGAGAGGTGCTGAGTTTGATGCTGGGTGTGAAAGATTTAGAAGTTCATCATCTCTACTTTGTTGCTAGTTTTGCAAACCAGTTATCTTAATAGTTTTTAACTATGATTTTTCCCATTGTTTACTTCATGACTCACGTTTAACATTTTGAATCAGGACCGGAAGATTAAAGAGATTGTTCTGAAAGCCATGGGACAGGCAATCAGTAAGTCTGTTGCTGTGACAGAGATTATCAAGGTAATTCTTCAGTTTTATTTTCTCATTTTTGTCCCACTGTACAGAACCACATTTGATATATTTCTTGAAAACAGAAAAGAGTACCGGGGTTGTACCAAGATACTAACATCAGCTCTGTCAGCATAACTGATGTCTGGGAACCTATTGAAGAAGGCCTTGTCCCGTTAAGTTTCCGTTTCTTTCTACCATCCTGTTATCACATAAACTTCTGTGGCACAGAGGATTCTAATTTATTCGAATGGTTACTCATTCTGCAGACTGGAGATGACTCGCCATGTTTCAATGATTTCAATTACTTTGTCTCCAGTAGAGCTGGACCAAAATTCCCCAGGGTAAATTGGATGCATGTCTGTTATTTTCATAGGATAAGAACATGTGTGCATGAACCATGATACACATTTGGAATATTAATACATTTTTTTGTAGGTATCAAAGCCCAGCTTATGTTGACCAGCCCAGGCAACAGCAGCGCCTCCAGCAGGCACCAGCGCCGCTGCGTCAACCTCGCCAACAACCATCTGATTATGACGGTATGATAGTGATAGTCCGCACTTGTTTTTGTACTTCAATTGTTCAAACTTATCATGATTGTTGTTCTGTTAGACTCCTATGTGCGGGGTCGTGGCAGAGGAAGGGGCCGTGGACGTGGTAGGGGTTGGGGTAGAGGAGGTTATGGCGGATATGGAAACAACCAAGGTGGGTACAACCAAGGGGGGTACAATCAAGGTGGATACAATCAAGGCGGGTACAACCAAGATGGTGGGTACTATGATAATCAAGGCGGATACAACCAAGATGGTGGGTACTATGATAATCAAGGTGGGTATGGCGGTGGATATGGCTACAACCAAGGCCGACAAGGAAACTACCAAGGTATATAAGGGTAGCTTGTACATATTTATTGCTGATTTTGCTTATTTAAGGAAGTTTGGATGCTCAATTGATTTGTTGAACCAGAAAATGGTGGATATAACCGAGGACGGGGTGGTATGCGTGGAAGAGGCAATTGGAGTTACCGTGGGGGTATGACCTTCTATAACATACTTGTGTTTCCTGATTGAGTGCTTTAACTCATGTTCTGATCTGTTATTCAATAGTTAGTTGTTCTTCACCTTTATAGCATGAGCCATACACACTGAAGTCTTGCACTGCCATGCATGCTTAAAAGCAATGTATGTTGATCATGTAAATAATTCATACATCCCTTTATTCTTCACATGCAGCAATGCCACTTTCATGTGGTTGCGGATCTGATGATGTAACTGTCACGAATAAACTTCTTTACCTCTTTAAAGTGTAAAAACGTTCCAGGATATCCAATTGTTGTGTTAGTTTTTTTGGATGTTCATTTTACCTGCTAGTGACCTAAATATTTATGACCATATGAACTCTTTGAGATAAACAGTGTATTTTCTATGTTCATTTTTAATTTATTAATGTGGCTTTGCATCTAGAAATGCCAAGAAAGATTTGCAATGTTACCTGTAACATATATTTCTGCATACAGGATATGAGCGTGGCAGGGGTGGCGGTGCTCCAGGTGGGAGGGGATATGAAGGTGGAAGGGGATATGACCAAGCTCCTGCTGGAAGGGGCTACGGAGGTGGAAGGGGATATGAAGGCGGAAGGGGATATGACCAAGCCCCTGCTGGAAGGGGATACGAAGGCGGAAGGGGATATGACCAAGCTCCTGCTGGGAGGGGGGGATACGAGGGCGGAAGGGGGTATGGAAGGGCTCGTGGAAGAATGGCTCGTGGGCGAGGGTACTGAGCAAAGGCAGAATTTCCATGGGCTTCTGGTTCTATTTAAATGCATGCTTTATAATATCAGGGGAAAGGTGAGTTATCCAAGGATTTTCTGTTGGAAGCTGTCGTTCGTGTGGGTGTTAGTTGTTTCCCCTGAGCGCGATGTTTGGTTGTGAGCACAATGCTTTTCCCAAGTTTATCCTGCAATCATCTTTGAATGTTGCTGTTGACGAGGTTTGCAGTTTTTCCCAATGGTCGATGAATGCTGAGCATGCAGCTCTATGTTCATGCCCGTCGTATTATCTGATGGAACTGGTACCTTTGTTTATTTTATATTTGTGCAGTTCTTTGCCCATGATTATCAAAACTATTACTCCCTCCGTCCCAATATAAATGTCTCAACTTTGTACTAACTTTAGTACAAAAGACACTTATTTCGAGACGGAGGGAGTATTTGGCTGTGAAATGCTCCTTGGCGTGTATGTTTCCTGTTACTATTTTGCTGTTTGGTTCTAGAGCGCTCACCGCCCTCTGCTTCAAGACGTGAGGGAATTTATCTACTGTTTGCTCTGTACATAGAAAGATGTAACGGTGAATGAAAGTCGTGGCTCCAATCCCATATCAGGCATTGTGGAGTATGTGTGTTTGGTGCTTGGTTAGGCGTTGTGGAGTATGATGATGCTTGGCCAGGCACTATGGTGAATTGTTGTGGCTGTAATTATTGTTCTCTATCTAATACTAGCAAAGATGCATGTGCGTTGCAACGGAAGAAAAAAAATCATCCCTTGTGCACACACCGACGACATCAACAAATCTCTTAAATCTTTCACCAAACAACATGATATGGGATGATTTTTAAAGTGTACTCAAGGTGTTTCTAATCCATTAGACAGAAATATCTACCAGTTGCTGTTATCTCTTTATGCCTCTATTGTCGTTATTTCTCGGTGATGCCCAATAAATATTGCATTGGGATGAAAATAACAAAATACACGTTAGTACTCAATGATAGCATGTGCATAAGAGCATTATTTTTGTCTTGTTGATGTATGTGTTCAGAACTGTAATCAAGTCAAGACTTAATTTGGTTGCAAACATATTACATTGCTTCACCAAAAACAATCAAACATGCATGCCAATATTAAAGATTGTATATCGACATCTTATATAAATCTCAAACAATATCAAAATCAACGTTAAGCCACTGGTTTATATAAAGCTCATATCAACACTTTAGGGTACATCATCGTACATGTGTGAAATAGAGAGGATGCTTATGTACCCAGTGGTGGAGCTTCACCCAAATTGCTGGGCGGGCCGGTGGGGCGTAGCTGAAGGAAATTACTACTATGTTGTTATTTGATGACCTAATAATAGGTAAACATTACACGGATTTGCATTGGCTAGGCGGGCCAGGGCACAGGTTGGCCCAGCCGTAGCTTCGCCACTGTATGTATCTATTGTAATCTTTAACATATGATAGCTGGTAGCAAGCATCATCGCCTGCGGTTTAAATAATAGTTTTTGTGAAAGTAATAAACTATCACATCTACTCAGTTTAAATGGGGTAAAACATGTACAATCGGCATTTTTAAAATACCATGTAAAAAGATATTTACTAAAATTACATGCTAAACATAATTTAGAAATGATTAACATGCAGATAATAGCATATTTGAAATGTACACATTTTTTGAGGGATTTTCGTATATAACATGTTAGATTTGGAGTTGCGGTTTAAAATATATGAATATTTAAAAAGCTTTTAAACTTGCCGGAAAAAAAAGAAAAAGGGGAGAAGGGGGACTCAAACCTAGGTCTCCAGTACTGAAGCAGGACGCTCTACCAACTAGGTTGTCTCAATCCTTGTGTTATAAGGTGGGATTTAACTTTATTGAACCAAAGTTGTCGGTCACATGTAAACGATTCATATTTTTCGTAACTTATGTGGCATGGTGGGTAATTATGGACAATTTTGAGGACAATTTTTATAACAGATGACCATAAGCAATAGCCGCTTTAGTATTAGGGAGAGATTTGTGAAAGTAATAAACTATCACATCTACTCAGTTTAAATGGGATAAAAACATATACAATCGGCATTTTTAAAATACCACATGTAAAAAAGATATTTATTAAAATTACATGCTAAACATAATTTAGAAATGATTTACATGCAGATAATAGCATATTTGAAATGTACACATTTTTGAGGGATTTTCATATATAACATGTTAGATTTGGAGTTGTGGTTTAAAAGATATGAATATTTAAAATAGCTTTTATACCTGCCAGAAAAAGAAAAGAAAAAGGGGAGAACGCTCTACCAACCCGGCTGTCTCAATCCTTCTGTTATAAGGTGGGACTTAACTTTATTGAACCAAACTTGTCGGTTGCGTGTAAAGAAAAAAAATGATTCATATGTTTTCTAACTTATGTGGCATGGTGGGTAATTATGGACAACTTCAAGGGCAATTTTTATGACGGACGACCATAAGCAATAGCCTCATTATTAGGGAGAGATATATACTCCCCCCGTTTTAAAATACTTCCAAATTTGAATTAAAACCGTGCCATATATTTTGGAACGGAGGGAGTAGTAGTAATAAGAAAAATTGGAGTCCCTATTTGTTAGTAAGTCAGATGTCGTTCCTGAAAAATGCGAGCACTGATATAAACCCTAGTGTTTTTTTTCTAACAAACAGTAGTTTACATCTGCGAGAACCAAACTAGACCATGACTCCATCCAGGTGCCGAGGGTAGAAAATCTTGCTAACTTAGCTATTTCATGGGTGTCGTGCGTACGATAATCTATGGGACTAGCAAAGGCCTCTTTGCGGTTCGACTAGGGAGATCAACAAGCACAAAGAGCAGAGCTAGCAGAACACATGAGATGTACCCAGGTTTGGGCCGCTGTGAAGTGTAAAACCCTACTCCTGCTTTGTTATATCGGATGTGTTTGAGCTCAGTTACGAAGAGCGCGGCTGCCGGCGAGATGCGCGGGAGGTGCAGCTACGCGTGCAAATGAGCAAAGTGTCGACCTAGGGGGTCTAATTGGCTGGCCGAATGCCCTCTTTTTATAGCTCAAGGGGTCACCACAATGGCAAATTGGTAAATACAAATGGTGAATATTAGCTTGACACGCACTAAGATAGTTGTCGATAAAGGTGATCTCCAAGCGGTGGTTCGCCACGTGCCCCGACAAGCTCTACCTAACCGTCTGTCCGCTTGCCACCTGCCGGCAAGTCTCTGACTAGCCATCGAGGTGGAGCAGTGAAGGGAGCTTGCTGGCCTGTAGCTTCCGGTGCTGAGCTTGGGTTTGCCGGCTCTATCCTTGCCGACAACATGGAATACATCTTGCCGAGGAAGTAGCTTGCCGGGAAGGTGTGTTGCCTGGAATAAGGCTTGTCAGTAGCTTGAGTCTTGCTTGTTGATGTAGCGCTTGTCGGGTGTAGTGCTTGCCAGCGAAGATCGATTCTTTGTTGGCGCGGCTGTGCATTGTCATGGCCCATGCTCGGAGGTTAGTGGAACCCTCATTTTTACTACACCGACAATGGGCAACTTGATTGCTCTCCCTATTATAGTGAGCAAACAAAACATGATTAAAGTCCCGAGTCATATAGTAGCAATCATCAAAGATTCCACCACAAGGAAGCTAACCATCTAAGCTATGCTTAGTTTGCAGAGTTCCTATTTATTAGTAGGGAGAGATTGTTTGTAATTTTATGTCATTTTCACTTAGTCATGTTAGGAGAACTTCGAATGAACCAACACAATGGTGTGAGACGTGCTTGTACCATTAATGGTACTCATAGCTGGCTTGCTAAGAGCCTAGACTTTTTAGTTAATGGTCTCTTGGCAGATTCTAATCGGTCATTAGTTAATTAGTAAAGCTCCCTAGTTTGATATACCAGAAAAAGAAGATACAATTATCGCATAACAGTATTAATGCGTGATGTTGTTGTCTCTTTACACGTCAAACTTGCTTAACTATTTATTTAATAATATAAATTGGATCAATTAAAAAATATATGAGTATATAATGAACATGAAGAGTCCCTATTTTTAGCAATTTAGATATCCAACTCGGTCCTTTGGAAGTTCTTGTGTGTCCCTCACAAAGATTGAAGAGATTCTTGATAGTACCCACTAAAGTCTTATCTATATTCTTGTCCTTTGGTGCCCTTGATCACACCATTGTTTCTTCAAAAGTTGGTAGCAACACAGGTAGCTTAGTTTGATGGTAGAGAGTGGCCCTTGACGATTATGGCTTCCAAAGTTGGTTACAACATAGGTAGCTTAGTTTGGTGGTAGAGAGTGCCAAGAGAAGGTGTCACATTATTGTTGAGGAAGGCTTGGATCGAGATATGGTCCATAGATGCATCAACACTACTCAAACATAAGAGTCCTTGTATCTTGTAACATGAAACCCACCACACCGAGGGGCTTCCCGGTTTGCAGATAGAGAAAGTTGATCGATGAGACAACAAGCCATGAACCTCATGAGCATGTCCAACATTGGAAGTGATAGTGCACCCAAAGATCTTATGGATGCAATCATACATTGTGGGCGTGCTTGGTGTTCCCAACAACAATTCCTCCTCTTGTTGGAGAACACGTGTGCAGGCAAGACAATTTGTCCATCTCTTTTGATCATCTGAAATGCGGATAACGTTTTCATCTTCTTTCAAGAAGAGTGACATCCAATATCTTAGACCAAACCTTGGTACTTACTTTAGATGCAGTACACCACTTTTCTTTAGACATCCAATAGAGAATATTCCCATATGCACTACTAGGAAAAGGGCTATAGATGAAATTGACACTAATGGCGCACCAGACATGTGGTGCGCCACTACTATATACTAATGGCGCACCATGTGCTGGTGCGCCACTAGTGTGGAAGACACTAATGGCGCACCATGTGCTGGTGTGCCACTAGTGTGGAAGACACTAATGGCGCACCATACACATGGTGCGCCACTAGTAACAAAAACTATTTTTTTTCATTTTTTCAAACATATT